TCCTCCATATATTATGATGGGTCCTCCATATATTATGATCGTTCCTCCATATATTATGATGGGTCCTCCATATATTATGATCGGTCCTCCGCTCTGTATCGTTCCTCCATTTTTTATGATGGGTCCTCCATATATTATGATCGGTCCTCCACTCTGTATTGTTCCTCCATATATTATGATGGGTCCTCCATATATTATGATGGGTCCTCCATATAATATGATCGGTCCTCCGCTCTGTATCGTTCCTCCATACATTATGATGGGTCCTCCATATATTATGAAGGGTCCTCCATATATTATGATGGGTCCTCCATATATTATGATCGTTCCTCCATATATTATGATGGGTCCTCCATATATTATGATCGTTCCCTCCATATATTATGATCAGTCCTCCATATATTATGATCAGTCCTCCTGTATCTGTTCTCTCCATACATGTGCAGTGTATCGTTCCTTCATATATTATGATGGGTCCTCCATATATTATGATCGGTCCTCCGCTCTGTATCGTTCCTCCATTTTTTATGATGGGGTCCTCCATATATTATGATCGGTCCCTCCACTCTGTATCGTTTCTCCATATATTATGATGGGTCCTCCATATATTATGATCGGTCCTCCACTCTGTATCGTTCCTCCATATATTATGATGGGTCCTTCATATATTATGATCGGTCCTCCGCTCTGTATTGTTCCTCCATATATTATGATGGGTCCTCCATATATTATGATGGGTCCTCCATATAATATGATCGGTCCTCCGCTCTGTATCGTTCCTCCATACATTATGATGGGTCCTCCATATATTATGAAGGGTCCTCCATATATTATGAAGGGTCCTCCATACATTATGATGGGTCCTCCATATATTATGATGGGTCCTCCATATAATATGATCGGTCCTCCATATATTATGATTGTTCCTCCATATATTATGATGGGTCCTCCATATATTATGATTGGTCCTCCATATATTATGATGGGTCCTCCATATATTATGATCGGTCCTCCGCTCTGTATTGTTCCTCCATATATTATGATGGGTCCTCCATATATTATGATCGGTCCTCCGCTCTGTATTGTTCCTCCATATATTATGATGGGTCCTCCATACATTATGATGGGTCCTCCATATAAAATGATCGGTCCTCCATATATTATGATGGGGTCCTCCATATATGATGATTCTGGTCCTCCATATATTATGATGGGTCCTCCATATATTATGATCGGTCCTCCGCTCTGTATTGTTCCTCCATATATTATGATGGGTCCTCCATACATTATGATGGGTCCTCCATATAAAATGATCGGTCCTCCACTCTGTATCGTTCCTCCATACATTATGATGGGTCCTCCATACATTATGATGGGTCCTCCATATAATATGATCGGTCCTCCGCTCTGTATTGTTCCTCCATACTCATACATGTAATGTAGAAGAATTCTGGCACGGTTTCAGGTTCAGCCAGACATGACCGCATTGAATAGGCACAATGGTGTACAAGCGGAGATATTGTGTGCAGACAATGCGCCTCTCACTGCACTCAGCGAGACACAAACATCTTCTATGACTTTCTATTGATGTGAAATGAAAACAAATCTGTGAAGAGAAGACGGTCCTTCCCGGCTCCCGGCTCCTTCACATCGCAGATTTGGCTTCATTGAGAATCGGAGTATAAAGGGGGCCCCTGCTCTGGAATTAGGTACCCGTGATAGTTGATCAGTCTGGAGTTCTTCCTTAGACACAGTCAGGTGACACATTCCGGTTAGCTAGGATTAGGAATTTGTGGTTTTTCCCGGTTTGAGATAATTATATCTACAACTCTCACAGTACAAGAAGATCTGTCCTGTAATCCAGACCAGGACTTTGCTGATTGTAAGATAAAGTTGGGAATGTGAGTTGTTTGTGCGGAGTTGTCAGGGTGTCGGCCCGGGGCCAAGGCTGCCTGAAGAGCGAGCTGGGTCTTCTGGGGTGACTAACTGCCTGATGATGATGAATCAGTCGGCTGGCTGTATTCTACATCTTTCCGTATCTTCATATCTCTAGATGAGACATGAAGGGATCTATTGTAAAGCAGTGAATGTGATTTTCACCCAACATTCTGTGGTGGAGAATCAATACCTGTCTTTGGAAACACATGGACCTGGAAGATCCACCGGCAGAGAATGTCAGATTCACCACTTTATGAATACGCCCCTAAGGACCTCCTCCAGCAGAATCCTAGTCTGGCCATGACCAGTCTGATAAATGGCACCCCAATTCCAGGTGTTGCTTTTGATAAGTGATCTGTTTGGGGGCCGGGCCAAAGGGGGGGTGGGCAGAGGAGGCGGCTTGCATAGGTTCTTCATCACGGGCAGGGGCGGACTGACCATTTGGAAACTCGGGCACTGCCGTCAGTAGGGGGCCCGATGAGATGACCCTGGTACCTTTTTTCATAGGCTTTTTTGAGTTTGGGCAAGACAGGACACAGGGGCCCCATGATCCCCTATTGCCCGGGGGCCCCATGAGTTGCAGTCTGCCCCTGATCACGAGGGAGATGCAAAAAGGTAGAACCTACAACTGGTGCTGCTGAGGTAAGTCCCAGCTCATTGGGGAATGGGGGACACTTTGGGTGTTATTGTCTATGAACACCCCCTATAAGAGGACCTGTCATTTTATACCCCACCCCTGGATGGCTCTCCCCCCATCTCGTGTTAAGTCTGGACACAGACATGGAGGACGCATTGCTGCAGGTTTAGTGCCTGCCTGGCTTCATCAGGAATGAATGATGTCATATCATGTGTCCTCTGATACCCAGAAATGCTCTCCATTGTGTCTCTGCAAAACCTTTCATCGTCTGATCATTGGGTCTCTGCAATTGTTTCCAGTCATGGGGTGTGTATAGGTTAGGGCATTTCCACAATGGCAGAAGTCATATGATTGGTCACTTTGAAATCAGGTGCATTGACTGTCTATATCACACCTAAGGTCATTCTACCCCCCCGTAATGTGTCACCTAAAGGCAGGCGGCCATGTTCCCTTGTGGCTTTTGGATGTTTGAGGACTCTATCTGAATACCAAAAAACCTCCAACTGCATTCCATGAACTCTTCACTAGCTGTGTGGACAAACAGTCCCGGGTGCGTCTCTTCCATGGATTCTCTTTATGAAAGGTCCCTCTGGAGTGCCACCATTGCACCACCATTATCATTCAGGATCACCATCTGCATGTCAGGGAAGAGGCTGAACATTTCCTTCCAGTGTTGCTGATGGTTTGCGGAGTCCAGACATGAAGCCATATGTCTGGGCAGAATATATATTTTTTTATTTTGCCCAGAGTGGGGAGGAGTTTAGACCGTCTTCCCAGTTCTTACTATTGTCTGTGTCCCAATTGTGGAGATTTAACCTTCTATTTGTACTGGTGACCATTGTCACTAAGAAGAAATTGATGGTTATCCCCAGAATAAGAGGGGAGTGCAAATATTCCCATGGGGAAGAATAAATACTTTCCCTCTACCCGCGCTATGATCACCCCGTGAATATTCCAAATACATGAAGACTCCCTGTTGGAGGGGTGAAACGCGGTAGATGGGGACTTCTGGTGACGTCACATCTCACTGGTGGAGCGCACGCCCCGGCGGTGTTTCTGGTCCAGCAATTCTGCCTTTTATTTATCTGTTTTAATGAGTGAAATTTATTTGAAATGTAGTTTAATAAAATATGGAATCATTCTAACTGGATCTCTCTTGCTGCCCTCCCTACATATAATGAGCATATAAATGACTGAACCCTGCCATCAGACTGGAGGAGTGGCGGGTGATTGAGAGGAAAAGAGCCCAAGTTAAAGATACTTCTAATCCAACTCTCATTGCTTTGCTGAAGGGTCACCAACTGTTGGTGAGCGGGGGAGCCCTGGCGGGAGCACTGGTGTGAGCCACTGGGGGGAGCACTGGATGCGAACTCTGGTTTGAGCATTGGAGGGGAGCATTGAAAGGGAACTCTGGGGGACTACTGGAAGGGAGCACTGGAGAGGAGCACTAGGGGGAGCCCTGGGGGAGCATTGGGGGGACCTGGGGGGAGCATTGGAGAGGAACACTGGAAGAGAGCAGTGGAGGGGAACACTAGAGGGGAGCACTGAAGGGGAACTCTGGGGGACTACTGGAAGGGAGCACTGGAGAGGAGCACTAGGGGGAGCCCTGGGGGGAGCATTGGAGGGGAACACTGGAAGAGAGCAGTGGAGGGGAACACTAGAGGGGAGCACTGGAGAGGAGCACTAGGGGGAGCCCTGGGGGGAGCATTGGAGGGGACTCTGGGGGGAGCATTGGAGGGGAACACTAGAGGGGAGCACTGCCCTACGATTCCTACACAAACTACTGGAAAGGGATTGCACACCTACACTGTGATGTAAAGACGGCACCAATTGGTTTCACCTAGTGTAGTTCGGTGGCGACTACGTTGGACTCTGATCTGACTTGGATTTATATATTTATATGCTGCATTTCTAATATTTTGGCGCGGTAGCAGAGGGCAGCGCTATAAGTTGGTATATCAGAAAAAGTAAACTGGCAGAATTGAACCCTTCTATCCAAAACAAACAATGACCATGGCCGTTCATACACTCGCATTGTGACCGTTCTCTAACATATCGATCTTCAGAAATCATTCTGACTTGTAGATTTTATTGACATTAAGACATTTTCTGGATAATATCATCAATATTCATACTGCAGTCCAATGAGATCTTGGCTAGACAAAGTCAGTCCATACACAGTATAAAAGCGTGTCTTCAATACAAAATAGAAAAACGGTGAATACACAGACAGCGGGGGGCGGGGACACCATCCTCTGAGGATCCATGTGACTTCCCGTGGGGGCTGGGTCACAGATAATAAATGGGGAGGAGCTGGAGGGGGTCTCATCCACTGGACACGTTGCCCACATCCTGGGGGCTGCTTCTGGCATAGGCGCAGATATGAAAGATTCCTGGAAGCAGAAAACAGAGAGATCAATGTTCTCTAGAAGGAAAGGTCAGACCAGGTTCTCCCATCAGTGGACAATGTGAGGAGCATTCTGGAGGCAACATTCCTCTCTAGAATATGGAAGATGACATTTCTCATACCTGCTGACACAGTAAGAATAATTCCAATCCAGCCCAGAATATACGACCAGGAAAATCGCCAATCCGCGTAGCGTTTCCCGAAGAAGTTCACTGTCACCCCTGTGTATACGGACAAGGCCAGGAGAGCGAAGAAGCCTGTAGAGGAGAAGAAGAGGTCACAGCATGCCGCACAGCCATACATACATACATTGAGTGGCAGCCGTGTGCTGAATTGTATGTCTTCCGTGTGTACAGCCGTGTGGCAGGGGAGCACCTGTACTTTCTGATTCCTACCCTTCATAAGGTGGTCCACTTAGATTTATGGGTACCTCCCCTAATGCCACTACAGAGGTACCCCCAGGACGGGCCATGTCAGCACCACCCACTAGCCTATTCCATACCTTCCTCACTCAGCCTTCCAGCAAAGGACCCCAGCTCCAGCCCAGCACAGGACCCCAGCTCCAGCCCAGCGCAGGACCCCAGCTCCAGCCCAGCACAGGACCCTAGCTCCAGCCCAGCACAGGACCCCAGCTCCAGCCCAGCACAGGACCCCAGCTCCAGCCCAGCACAGGACCCCAGCTCCAGCCCAGGACCCTACAGGACCCCAGCTCCAGCCCAGCACAGGACCCCAGCTCCAGCCCAGCACAGGACCCCAGCTCCAGCCCAGCACAGGACCCTAGCTCCAGCCCAGCACAGGACCCCAGCTCCAGCCCAGCACAGGACCCCAGCTCCAGCCCAGCACAGGACCCCAGCTCCAGCCCAGCACAGGACCCCAGCTCCAGCCCAGCACAGGACCCCAGCTCCAGCCCAGCACAGGACCCCAGCTCCAGCCCAGCACAGGACCCCAGCTCCAGCCCAGCACAGGACCCCAGCTCCAGCCCAGCACAGGACCCCAGCTCCAGCCCAGCACAGGACCCTCCAGCCCAGCACAGGACCCAGCTCCAGCCCAGCACAGGACCCCAGCCCAGCACAGGACCCCAGCTCCAGCCCAGCACAGACCCCCAGCTCCAGCCCAGCACAGGACCCCAGCTCCAGCCCAGCACAGGACCCCAGCTCCAGCCCAGCACAGGACCCCAGCTCCAGCCCAGCACAGGACCCCAGCTCCAGCCCAGCACAGGACCCTAGCTCCAGCCCAGCACAGGACCCCAGCTCCAGCCCAGCACAGGACCCCAGCTCCAGCCCAGCACAGGACCCCAGCTCCAGCCCAGCACAAGTTTGGTTTCCAGAAAAGCTCTCATCTTGAGGTCAGGAGATGGAAGATTCAAGACACCACAAGACTTTGAACTCCTTACTGAACTGCAGTTGATTCACATTCTTTCAGTCATCCTAATGGTGATGGCACTTTCCGTATTTGCAAGCAGATAAGAGCCGAGATTGGAGCCGAGTCGATCAGCAGTCCATACCTTTAGGAGTTTGTCAGATTCCTACATCCCATGCCAAAGGCACCTGAGTAGTCCCGATAGTCCTGCACCTCCCCCTCCTTACTTAGGGTTAGCTGGAGTCTTAAAGGGTGCTTCTTTGCATGCCTTGGTCCTTGCACAGCTTTCCATACAGAACCACACTGGTGGACATGGACTATATACCGAGCCCTCTTACCCATGATGCCCTACACTAGCAGGGCTCAGAGCTGTCACTTCCTAGCTCCCTGTGGTACATCAGTTGTCAGAGGATGAACCGCAGAAGTAAGGGCACATTTGCCAACATTCACAATGGCCACACTAATTGCGCAGAAATGTGCAGAGAGGTTGTGTGCGGGGACTTGGGTGTGCTCCCATGTGCGCCGGTGCTCTCACAACAGTTCTTGACACTCAGTGGCCTATTTAAAGTCAATTCTCTGGTGCACAAGTTGCTAGATAATCGTCGGCCCCGGTTCCCGGTGCTCCTGTGTTGCTATACTTTTGCATTTCCCGTTGCTGACCCAACTTGCCCCTGAACCTGTCTTGGCTTCTCTCCTGGCTCTGACCCCGGCTTGTTATATGGACTTTACTGACTGCCTACTTCCTGAGTATGACCTCGGCCAGATCTCGGCCACACGTCTCTTCCTGACTGACCTACTATGCATGATCCTGGCTCTGGGTTCTGACTCCGCCTCCTGTTCTGCTCACCTGTCAAGATCCACCTGTGCCTCTGGAGTTCCACCTGTCCTGCTGGTACCCTGACCTGATCAAGACTTCAGCTGCTCATCTAGAGTATCTTCTGCCCTGCTGACACCACTGTAGGTCAGGTCCCTTCCAAGTGCCTCATCCACCCTACTCATCAGGTCATTCCGCACTCCCTGTCTCCACCTCTAGGGGTGCTCTGCACTCAGCCACAAAGGAAGCCCTCTCCTCACTTCGGCCAGGTACATGACGCCAGTAACGGGTATTGGCTCCCTACTGGTACCTACTCTCCCTTCTTCATTACAGGGCCCCCAACCCTAACTATGGAGACATCTATTGGCTAATTTGGGGAACTATATGGGGCAGCCCTGTTCTCCTCCATTACAAATACAGTACCTTCCAGAGATTGACATCCATTTATTGGCTGAATCCAGAGCGGCTCCATCCAATGCTGAGTGCAGTAAAGGGGCAACTATTGTTGGCTATTGTCCAGAGCATATGACGGGGCCCGGGGTCCAAAGTATGACAAGCATACACCAACCTTTCCTGAACTCTGGCTCTGGGCTTTCCGTATCTTTCACCCTTAGAATGACTGTGAAGGGCTCAGCCCAGCAAGAGATGGCGGAAGAGAAGGGCGGGGAACCCGGCAAGATGGCGGAAGAGAAGGGCGGGGAACCCGGCAAGATGGCGGAAGAGAAGGGCGGGGAACCCGGCAAGGAGGAAGAGAAGGGCAGGGAACCCGGCAAGATGGCGGAAGAGAAGGGCGGGGAACCCGGCAAGGCAAGGAGGAAGAGAAGGCGGAAGAGAGGGCAGGGGAACCCGGCAAGGAGGAAGAGAAGGGCGGGGAACCCTTTTTCAAGATGGCATTAGGAGGGAGAGGAAGGGCGGGGAACCCGGCAAGATGGCGGAAGAGAAGGGCGGGGGAACCCGGCAAGGAGGAAGCAGAAGGCAGCGAGAAGTCTGGATGGCGAAGGGGCAGGAAATATTCACTTTTCATGATGGCATTAACCAATCCAGGGGAGTCTAGGGGATACTCCAGTCTGGGGGCTACACACGATATACACAATATATACTACCCCCCAGTCTGGGGGCTACACACGATATACACAATATATACTACCCCCCAGTCTGGGGGCTACACACGATATACACAATATATACTACCCCCCCAGTCTGGGGGCTACACACACGATATACACAATATATACTACCCCCCAGTCTGGGGCTACACACGATATACACAATATATACTACCCCCCCCAGTCTGGGGACTACACACGATATACACAATATATACTACCCCCCCAGTCTGGGGCTACACACGATATACACAATATATACTACTACCCCCCAGTCTGGGGACTACACACATATATACACAATATATACTACCCCCCAGTCTGGGGCTACACACGATATACACAATATATACTACCCCCCAGTCTGGGGGCTACACACGATATACACAATATATACTACCCCCCCCAGTCTGGGGCACACACGATATACACAAATATATACTACCCCCCCCAGTCTGGGGACTACACACGATATACACAATATATACTACCCCCCCCCGAGTCTGGGGACTACACACGATATACACAATATATACTACCCCCCAGTCTGGGGACTACACACGATATACACAATATATACTACCCCCCAGTCTGGGGACTACACAATATAATATATACTACCCCCCCAGTCTGGGGGGCTACACACGATATACACAATATATACTACCCCCCAGTCTGGGGCTACTACACACGATATACACAATATATACTACCCCCCAGTCTGGGGGCTACACACATATATACACAATATATACTACCCCCCAGTCTGGGGGCTACACACGATATATACACAATATATACTACCCCCCAGTCTGGGAGCTACACACGATATACACAATATATACTACCCCCCAGTCTGGGGGGCTACACACGATATACACAATATATACTACCCCCCAGTCTGGGGGCTACACACGATATACACAATATATACTACCCCCCATACACACGATATACACAATATATACTACCCCCCAGTCTGGGGGCTACACACGATATACTACACACACGATATACACAATATATATACTACCCCCCAGTCTGGGGGCTACACACGATATACACAATATATACTACCCCCCAGTCTGGGGGCTACACACGATATACACAATATATATACTACCCCCCAGTCTGGGGGCTACACACACGATATACACAATATATACTACCCCCCAGTCTGGGGGCTACACACGATATACACAATATATACTACCCCCCAGTCTGGGGGCTACACACGATATACACAATATATACTACCCCCCAGTCTGGGGGCTACACACGATATACACAATATATACTACCCCCCAGTCTGGGGCTACACACATATACACAATATATACTACCCCCCAGTCTGGGGGCTACACACGATATACACAATATATACTACCCCCCAGTCTGGGGGGCTACACACGATATTATACACAATATATATACTACCCCCAGTCTGGGAGCTACACACGATATACACAATATATACTACCCCCCAGTCTGGGGGCTACACACGATATACACAATATACTACTACCCCCAGTCTGGGGACTACTACACACGATATACACAATATATACTATATACTACCCCCAGTCTGGGGGCTACACACACGATATACACAATATATACTACCCCCCAGTCTGGGGGGCTACACATGTATATACACAATATATACTACCCCCCCAGTCTGGGGGCTACACACGATATACACAATATATACTACCCCCAGTCTGGGGACTACACACGATATACACACAATATATACTACCCCCCAGTCTGGGGGACTACACACGATATACACAATATATACTACCCCCCAGTCTGGGGACTACACACGATATACACAATATATACTACCCCCCAGTCTGGGGCTACACACGATATACACAATATATACTACCCCCCAGTCTGGGGACTACACACGATATACACAATATATACTACCCCCCCAGTCTGGGGAGCTACACACGATATACACAATATATAC